TCCCCGCATGGAAATAGAGAGTGTGCGCTGGTCACATCCAGGGACGTGCTCCATGCAATCCACAAATTTAGATCTGCTCCTGACTATATTATATTGACCATATAAAAATTAAAGTAGCTTTATATGTACTTTACTGATATAGAAACAAGTCTATGTTATATTGCTAAGTATAAAATTCAAATTTCAGAATGTCAATAGTATAATCCCACTGAAGTAAAAAAAAAAAAAAAGATTTTTTCAAGTTTGACTATAATCTTTGTATGGGAATTTTTAGTAAAGCGTATATATTCATCTACAGCTTAACTTTTTAGTCTTAAAAAAGGCAAAAATGAAATTTCGACTATGAAATGCACGGTTGTAACCAGCAATACTAATCTTGCACGGTTGCAATACTCTTTGCACTCTTTGCACTGTAACCTCTGGAATCCACTGTAACTTCTGGAATCCACTGTAACCTCTGTAACCTCTGGAATCCACTGTAACCTCTGGAATCCGCTGTAACCGGAGATCGCTTAACCCGGCAGTCGCCCGCCAGGACTCGGGCGGCGGTCAAGGGTGCGCAGGCGCAAGCGCCGCCGCCGTCGGTGGGGTTCTGTGCGCGGTTGAGACTGCTGTTGAGTTTCACCGCCTTTTAAGACTGCCTTCCAAAAGACGACGTGATGACTCTAAAGAAAAAGGAAAATTTGTTGCGTACGCAGAAGGGCAGGCTGGGCGCACTCTGAGCGTCTTTCGGGGACCGACGGCCTCGCCCACGTGCTTCCGGGCACCAGAGGGCTGAAACCCCGTACGCTAGGAAACGCACAAACGCCCCAGCGGGTGAGACCACTGGCAGCCAGGAGGCGGCGAGGGTGGCTTGTCTTCCAGAGACTGGAGAATCAAGAAAGGCAGAGCCACCTCCTCGGCCCCAGCGCAGCAAGTGCAGGAGGCAGGGAGGCCGCAGCGTCCCGCCGTCCCTGGTACCCGTGAAACCCGGTGCGCGCCCAGGGAGCTGAGGCGGCTCAGGCCCAGCGTGCCCATAAAGCCAACCACGCTGGTCAGGAGGACGCTCTCCCACGATCCGCGATCCTCAGGCTCTGATTAAAGTCCAGTTAAAAGGAGCTATCCGTTCTGGTATCTGTTGTTACTCTTGTGATAAATATGATGTTTGATACGGAAGTATCTTTACAGTCATGCTGCCAATCAAAGAACAAAACACGTAAAGCCTGTGCGCTAAGAACACGAGAGCATTTCGCTCCTCAGGAGGTGCAGTTTCTCTTCCTTTGTTTAATGTGTAATTCCAAGGAGAATTCCCTGTTATCAACACATTTTGCTCTTTGCCTTTGTTTAGGGGATGACATAGGCTCACTGCATTTGATCAGATTAGTGTTAACCCCCCCCACCCACGTTTTTACTGTATACTCTACCAGTAATACAGCAGGATTTTATATCTTTAACCTCAAAATTCAAGAGCAGAAAAATACTCACATTTTATGTTAGTTTAACGTGAAAACGAGTTACTTCAGCCCTGACAGGATAGTTTTAAACCAATACTTCCTAACAAATCTGTTTCTTATTCGTATAAGCCCATACACATGGTTTTTAAAATCAGTTTTATAAATAATAATTAGCATTGAGGCCCTGATCTAAGTATTTGAAACTCTGTTACTCTTCACAACAATCCTGAGGTGGGCATATTTTCCTCATTTTGCAGATAAGGAAACAAGCACTGGGATGGTAAGAAACCCAGGCCATCTGGCCCCTAAGAGCCTTTTATCACCATGCTTAAAGCTTTACCCACTTTTGAGATCCAAAATATTACGTAGTGCACACATATTTGGTAACCAAATCAGAATTAAACGTTAAACTTCAGGGCCGAGCACAGTGCCCTGTAATCCTAGCATTTTGGGAAGCTGAGGTGGGCAGATTACTTGACCTCAGGAGTTCAAGACCAGCCTGGACAGCATGGTACAACCCCATCTCTATAAAAAATACAAAAATTAGTTGGGTGTGGTGGTGTGTGCCTGTGGTCCCAGCTACTCAGGAGGCTGAGGTGGGAGGATCGCTTGAGCCGAGGAGGCAGAGGTTGCAGTGAGCCAAGGTCATACCACTGCACTCCAGCCTGGGTGACATAGCGAGACACTGTCTCAAAAAGAAAAAAACAAAAGTAAAGTAAGAACATAATAAGAAATATGTTTGGCACTGTTACAGGGGATAAAAAATAAATAGGGAGATAGATCCTGCTTTCAGGGTAAGTGCAATTTGCTGAGTAAAATAAATATTTTAAGATAACCTTAAAAAAGAAAACAAAGGCTGTTGTAAATTGGATATTCAATTATTTGGGGTTTATAAATACACAGAATGCCACATTTTCACCAATACCTTATGTTTTGTGTAAAGATTAAAACCAACTTTGAAAATGAATTGTTTATGCGATTATCTTAAAAATAAAGATTATATAATAAGTCACATTATCTTGCATTATGTGACTTATCTAGGGGGTAAAGTCACTCTCATTCTACTAATATTCACAGTACTATTATATAATCATTTCAGAGCCCTGAATTATAATCCCAACTATGTGACAGTTACTGAGTAAATTTTGCAATGTAGATTTATTATAGAATATAAGTGTATTACTTTATTTTTCTCTATTCATTGGCATCCTTTTATATTTAGGGTTTGACACGATTGCACACAACAATCTTTCTACTAAAATATTCCATAGAGTTCGCCAGGGATGGTGGCTCACGCCTTAATCCAAGCACTTTGGGAGGCTGAGGCAGGTGGATCACCTGGGGTCAGGAGTTCGAGACCACCCTGGCCAACATGATGAAACCCTGTCTCTACTAAAAATACAAAAATTAGCTGGGCATGGTGGCACGTGCCTGTAATCCCAGCTACTCGGGAGCTGAGGCGGGAGAATCGCTTGAACCCAGGGAGCGGAGGTTGCAGTGAGCCAAGATCGTGCCATTGCACTCCAGCCTGGGCAACAGGAGTGAAACTCTGTCTCAAAAAAAAAAAAAAAAAGATTGAGGCTCAAGCAGATTAAATATTATACACATACTAGATCACATACTAAGCCACACAGGTAGTACAGAATAGAAATCCTATTCCAGGGCTTCACGGACCTCAAATTGCTTCTGTAAATGGTTCATGTTTATTAGTTTACCTTCTCAAAGTCAATATACTTCAAAAACATACAACTGCTATCATTAAAATGTGGTTACACATAACCTAGCACATAGGTGCTTTAGAAGAAGGGAACTTTACCATTTGAATTTTTTTTTTTCCTCCACTCTGTCGCCCAGGCTGGAGTGCAGCGGCATGATCTCAGCTCACTGCAAGCTCCGCCTCCCGGGTTCAGGTCATTCTCCGGCCTCAGCCTGCCGAGTAGCTGGGACTACAGGTGCCCGCCACCACGCCCGGCTAATTTTTTGTATTTTTAGTAGAGATGGTGTTTCACTGTGTTAGCTAGGATGGTCTCGATCTCCTGACCTCATGATCCACCTGCCTCGGCCTCCCAAAATGCTGGGATTACAGGCGTGAGCCACCGTGCCAGGCTACCATTTGATTTTTTAAAATATCCTAACGTGTGTGTGTGTGTGTGTGTGTGTGTGTGTGTGTGCGCGCGCACGTGTTTCTCATGAATATGGTATTATTGGTCCTTCTTCCAAAGATATGGTATGAAAAATAATTTTTTGCTTAGAGTCAGAGTCTTGCTCTATCATCCAGCTGGGTGTGCAGTGGCACGATCATAGCTCACTGCAGCTTCAAACTCCTCAGTTCAAGTCTCCACCCGCCCCAGCCTCCAAAGTAGCTAGGACTACAGGAGTGCGCCACCACACTCAGCTAACTTTATTATTATTTTTTGTAGAGGCAGGTCTCAAATTCTTGGCCTCAAGTGGTCCTTCCACCTCAGCCTCCTAAAGCACTGGGATTATAGGCATGACTCACTGCACTTGGTAGAAAATTAATTTTCATTATAAAAATCAGAAAGGAAGAACTTGTTGTTTGATGGCCAATACCCTGAATTTCATTCCAACTTCTGGTTTTCTACATTATATGTAGGTACTAGTGATTTTGTGCCATTTTTATTTCTTCAGATTTTTCCTCTTCTACAATTCTCCCATATGTGTTATTATTTGAAGCCCTGATCACAGCTCTGAATCATTCTGTTCTTTTTTCTCCCCCAACTCTGATTCAAAACTTCTGTAACTCGTTCACTGCAAAGTCTAGAATCTCTGTTGCAAGTGAACTGACCGGGTGGGCCAAATCGCCTTGAAAGGGAAGGATTGTTACAAAGTCAGTATGTTGCTAAGACGTCTTGCTAATTTGCTGTGTAAGCTGCATAGGCTGTCAGGGGATTCTCCTTTCCACTGATGAATTTAGGTGTGTGTTATGACCTGTATCAGTGATTCTATTTGGATTGATTAACGTTGCAATTTTTTATCCATATGAATGTTGCACCTAGTTTTTCCCTGTAATTGGTTAAACGAATGTCTGCTGTTTGCATTTCAACTCTCAGCCAATAACTGCTGGAAGTGATTTAATGCAGCTGGAGAATGACACTAACAATCATTATAGCCTGCAAAGTGTGAAACAATTTCATTGTGCTTTGTGGTCTCTTTAGTCTGAGGACTGATAATGTGCAGCGGATGTGACTTGAAAAAAAGTATTTCATTATAGTTAAACAAATAATGTAAAAGAGGGGTGAGTTCTGGGGCAGCTCCATGCTGTTTATCTGGCATGAGCTTGTTTTTATAAGAATTCACTTCAAGTGTGGAAGGGAAATGCTTTCATCTGAAAGGGATTGCTGTGCTTCATTCCGGTTTCTCCCTCCATCTGATAAAAACTCTTGCTGAGTGACAGCACAGATGTAGCTCATTTGAAACAAATGAAGGAAAAGGAGAAAAGGGATAGGGGTGGAGCCAAGGAGTAGTCAGTCATGTTTCCAAAATCCTGCGGTTTCCCCTGGTCTTTTCATTCACCCCAGCGGCCCTGGTGTCCCCCTGCAAAGTGCGATGCCCTCGCCCCTGGCCCTACGCCCCTACCTCCCCAGCGAGTTTTCCCCGTCGGTGGACGCCCGGCCCTGCAGCAGTCCCTCAGAGCTCCCTGCGAAGCTGCTTCTGGGGGCCACTCCTCCTCGGGCCCCGCGGCTGCCGCGCCGGCTGGCTTGGTGCTCCATTGACTGGGAGCAGGTGTGCTTGCTGCAGAGGCTGGGAGCCGGAGGGTTTGGCTCGGTGTACAAGGCGACTTACCACGGTGTTCCTGTGGCCATAAAGCAAGTGAACAAGTGCACTAAGAACCGACTAGCATCTCGGCGGAGTTTCTGGGCTGAGCTCAACGTAGCAAGGCTGCGCCACGATAACATCGTGCGCGTGGTGGCTGCCAGCACGCGCACGCCCGCGGGGTCCAACAGCCTAGGGACCATCATCATGGAGTTCGGTGGCAACGTCACTTTACACCAAGTCATCTACGGCGCCGCCGGCCACCCTGAGGGGGACGCGGGGGAGCCTCACTGCAGCACTGGAGGACCGTTAACTTTGGGAAAGTGTCTCAAGTACTCCCTAGATGTTGTGAACGGCCTGCTCTTCCTCCATTCGCAAAGCATTGTGCACTTGGACCTGAAGCCCGCGAACATCTTGATCAGTGAGCAGGACGTCTGTAAAATTAGTGACTTCGGTTGCTCTGAGAAGTTGGAAGATCTGCTGTGCTTCCAGACACCCCTTTACCCCCTAGGAGGCACATACACCCACCGCGCCCCGGAACTCCTGAAAGGAGAGGGAGTGACGCCCAAAGCCGACATTTATTCCTTTGCCATCACTCTCTGGCAAATGACTACCAAGCAGGCGCCCTATTCGGGGGAGCGGCAGCACATACTGTACGCAGTGGTGGCCTACGACCTGCGCCCGTCCCTCTCCGCTGCCTTCTTCCAGGACTCGCTCCCCGGGCAGCGCCTTGGGGACCTCATCCGGCGCTGCTGGAGACCCAGCGCGGCGCAGAGGCCGAGCGCGCGGCTGCTTTTGGTGGATCTCACCTCTTTGAAAGCTGAATTCGGCTGACTGAAAACCTGCGTCAAGATAAGCTTGTGTCTGATTCTGTTTGTTTTTAAAGGAAGTGGAGATGTCGAAGAAAACATATTTGTGGGATGGAGTTTTAGAAAATAAAGTTACTAAAAAACTCCTTTAGTCTCCAATGCTTTTTCTACGACACATAGCAAAGCCACAAATCTAGTACCTGTTGTCTCAGTACTGTTAGTAACTAATCTTATTCATATAAGATTAGTGCTTGTGCTTCGCCCTCCATTGATAGTATTTCATTTATTCAAATTTGTTACTGATAAAACACTTTGTCCAAAACAGAACTCCACTGCAGAAATGTCAAAATTTTCTATAAATCCATATATATCCCATACCTACCACATAAATTCCAACTATTAACAGTGTACTTGCTCCCACACCAAATCAGTAAAAACTTTTAAAAAAATAAGTAATGCTTTCCTACTACTCCCCCCAGTAAAACTTCTTGTTTGTAATGACCTTCACACATAAAAGTCATACACTAAGGTACATTTACAGTCAAAGGAATTATAACTGACTTATTGTAATATTTTTAACTTGTGCAATGCAATGAGTAGAGACATTTTACTAAAACACTTCTAAACTGGGTCATTTTTACCTGGTACTGGGACTCAGAAGTAGAAGATAAAGGTTATATGATGTGAAGGGAAAATGAAAACCCTGAGGAATCATGAAATTTAACATTTGGATGGAAGAGAACAGACAAATAGAACTAGATTGCCCACTCTAGACATCAAAACAATGGGTGTTGGTACATAGGTTTTAAAGGAGAAGGTGATTGGATTTTGTCTTTGGGACAACTTTGACTTTCTTTTAGCAACAGCAGTTTCTGTGCATGGTGGAAGGCAAAGCTGATGCAGTGGCTGGTAGAGGGAATGGCAAAGCCCTGAAGCAGAGGCTGCGCATGCGCTGTTAAGGAGGGAGAGGCAGGAACCTTAAAAGGGGGTCACAGACACAGAAATGTTTTCAGATTTTTTATCTGGTTTCATTTAGTTTTACGTTGTAAGAAATAATTTTACTTGTAAAATGAGACATCAGAGGCAAAGATAATTGATAAAGTTTACATACTTGTAGAAGGGATGAAGCGTAGTACCTAGGGAAAGAGATTATCATCTTGGAGAGAAAGGACATCTCTTCCCAAGATGGGAGCCAAGGGTGGGGGCACAATGGCATTACAGACACATTTACAATAGGAAAAAGGGGACTGGGGAAGCCCACATCTGTGAGCTTCTATTTTTTTCTGTTAAGAGTGGTTGAGAGTAGGGGGATCTACAGAGTGACACCATGGTTTGGAACTATTCTTGAGAAAAGCAAAAGGGAGCTATCTGTGGCCACGTATAACATTGACAGAGTGCTGCTAATTCTGTCCAGGTAGTTGGGGGAACAAACCACCTATATACCAATAAAGAATTCCCTTCTCTGATTATTATTATTATTATTTGAGATGGAGTCTCATTCCATCACCCAGGCTGGAGTGTAGTGGCACAATTTTGGCTCACTGCAACCTCCGCCTCCCCAGTAGCTGGGATTACAGGCACATGCCACCATACCCAACTAATTTTTGTATTTTTAGTAAAAAGGTTTCACCATGTTGGCCAGGCTGGTCTCGAACTCCTGACCTCAAATGATCCCCGCCCCCATGTCAGTCTCACAAAGTGCTAGGATTACAGGCTTGAGTCACTGTGCCCGGCCCCCTTCTTTGACTATTGTGGCAATAGGAATTCACGTTGGTAAGTTTAAATTACAATAGTGTCTTCCCTTCACCTGGAGACCACATAGAATGACAAGGTGAAGAAGGGGGAATAAACGCTGTAGGCTCCATAATCAGTGAAACTGGGAGAGAGAAAACAAACCCTAAAATGTGATAACTAAAGACTGAACGGAGCCTTAAGGAAAGAGAGCAGGAAGGGTAAGGGGTGGCTGGCGTCGGGGCAGGGGGTGGAGACCAAGGGACCCAGCAGTGACAGATCCCAGAGAGACCTGCAAAATTAGATTCCTTGGATAACAGGAGCCCACTGGGAAGTGTAAATGTTGGGGAAGAAATCAGAGAACAGGAATGACATCAAACAGTGCTGAGGTTAGAGGAGTTGGTAGAAAAAGAAGGAAGAGCAGGTGTTACAGAGGATCCAGCCATGCAGAGCTCAGAAATTGGTGGCAAAATTCAGCTGCTGGACAGGAGGGGGTCACCCTGGGGACAGGGCAGGGAATACTGGACAGGCACAGAAGCCTCCTGGGCCCGGTTTTGCTTTGGAGAGAAAGAAGGTTGTGGCTGCACGAAGAAACCCACAGAAGTGCCATATTGGAAGGAAACAAGCAGATGAAAGAAGTCTGAGTTGTTGGAAAACCACCCTGGTGAGAGGTAGAACAGGCACATGACTGCTCCCTCTGTAGCGGCTAATAGTCAAAAGTATGCTCTTTGACATACACATCAAGTCAGAGGTAAAGGCATACTTAAGAGTGCAAAAACAAGTATTAAGAAAGATAATACGGGGAGGTGTGGTGGCTCATGCCTGTAATCCCAGCACCTTGGGAGGCCAAGGTGAGTGGATCACCTGAGGTTGGGAGACCAGGCTGGCCAAAATGATGAAACCCCATCTCTACCAAAAATAGAAAATTAGTCAGCCATGGTAGCACATGCCTGTAATCCCAGCTACTTGGGAGGCTGAGGAAGGAGAATCGCTTTAACCTGGGATGTGGAGGTTGTGGTGAGCCGAGATGGCGCCATTGCACTCCAGACTAGGCAACAAGAGCGAAACTCCGTTTCAAAAAAAAGAATAACATTTATATCAAAAACGATAAAGATTGCTTTTTAAAAAGAAATGACAGGTCAATCTTGTTTAAAACTATCAGTGTAAAAAACTATCACTGTCCTAAGTAAATATTAGCATAGAGAATCTAAGAGTTAATTTTTATAATCATGCACATGTTATTTTTACTCAAGTGAATTTCTTTCAAGATGCAAGAATAGTTTCATATTAGAAAATATTAGAAAATCTATTGTCTTAATTCATATTAGCAGGTTGAAAGTAAGAACATATGCTGAGAATACATTTGACAAAATTAAATGTTTATTCTGGGTTTTTAAAAAGAGACTCAAAAGAAGGAGAAATAGATATTTACCTAACCCACTTAAAAAAATACATAACAAATGTTAATTTCTTATATGACTTATTTTTTATAAATGTATAAATACCATGGTTACATAACATAGGGAAAACTGAATAAAGGATATATTATACAAGAATTCTATGTACTGTCTTTGCAATTCTTCTATGTCTAAAATTATTTCAAAATAAAAACTTAAAAATGTATAGAACACCACACATTTCAGCCCAATAGCTACCATATTAACAGGAAATCAGTCCACTAAAGTCATGAATAATGTAAGAATGCCCACTACTGCTATTACGATTTAATGTTTTATTGGTCAGTGACATTTAAAAAGAAAATTAAACTTGAGGTCTAAAACTGTGAAGAGAGAAGAAAAACAAATTCTGTTTGCAGATTCTATTTTCAGGATATATACTTGGAAAAGAAACACAAGATAATTAACAGACAAACTAAAACAATAAAATAATTATGTAAGTTTGCAGGATATAAAATTAACATACAGAAATCAATAGACTTCAACTATGTCAACAAAAATCAGCTAGAATTTATAAAAGAAAGATTCCTTTTACAATACCTTGAAAAAGATAAAATATTCCCTTTGACACAGCCACAGACTGCATGTTTCATGATAGCAGGGCTGGAGGATGAGATACTTGGCTAATATGGTGGGGACATTAGTCATATACAGGAGGGTTAAACAAGTAAGTAAATACATTGAGGAGAATGGGAGCCAGGATTTGTAAGTGTTAGAAAAGGAAGTTACAAGTATAGAAACAAGGAAGTATAGAATAAACTCTATTGAAATTGAAATAGGAAATGTCAGATTGAGTTTAGAAGTATCAGTGTGAACATGTAGTTTTTAATAGAGGTAGATGAAAGGAGAGAGAGGGATAGATATAGAAACAGACATTAATGTGTGTGCATCTGTGTGTGTGTGTGTGTACGCACATACATGTATTTCCTAGCTCTGTCCTTTGACAGGGCCTAAAGTAATGACACTCTGGAGCAGATTAACACCAAACTTTAGCTCTGAATTCTGACTTTTTAGTTTCTGAATTTTTAATTATTCACAACAGGAGGAAATGGGGGCCTCTTGAGAAGCAGCTGATTCCAGAGCAGGGAAAATATAAAATGAACCAGAACATCTTGTGCCTCCAAATAAAGGAATGCTCAGGAATGATAGAAACCTGTTATAAGGACACAGGAGCTGGCTTGAATGATCTCTCCTACTGGCTGACCTGAGATAATTTTAGCATTAAAATGATTAATGATGGTAAATCAATTAGAAATGAATAGTCATAATGAAGGAAATAGGAATCCATAATGATATAAATAACTATATAAATAAATGTTGGAGAAAGGAAAGCTCTACCTTACAATAGAATACCAAATAATATTAATTGCAAATAAGCACAAAATAATTATCCTTACAGTGAAGAAGTCATACTGACATTATCTTACAAGTGATGTAGACAGATATACAGAAAGATATCTTACTCAAGTTAATATCACCAGTAATGGGGCAAATTGATAAACATGACACGGCTCCTGATATGATGCACTGAGAAGAACATAGCACCACTTCTGTGGTAGTCCTGCAAAAGACACATAACCTTACCCAGATCAAGAGGAAACAATTTCACACTCAAATTGGCCTGCTCATGTCAGAAGTATCAAGGTCATAAAAGACAAGGAAAGACTGAGGAACTGTTTCATATAGAAAGACATGACAACCCAGTCCAACACATAATCCAGGATTGGACTGTGGTCCCATAACAAACACTATTAGGACAACTGATAAATTTAAATGGGATCTCTAGATTATATGCAAGTGTTATATCAAAATTTCTTGATTTTGATAGTTACACTGC